GTCGTTTTTCATCATTCTCCCCTTTCCTTAATTCTATTGTCAGAAATAGTAAATAAACTGTAAGTTCTCCAAAATTAAATTATGAGATAATTTAAATAAATGGCCGAATTACTTTTCTTTCTTTTCTCTTTTACCATTTTTAATCTTTTTCTATGTTTTTAATTTCATTGCCGGGAACATAAAATAGCAAAAGTATTCCCCCTTGAATTAAATGCCGTAAAAAAATAAAGAAATTAAGGGATATTATATTTTTCCCTTCTCCTCTACTGGTCGTAATCCCTTTTCCCCATCTTTAATTATGGTACTAAAATAGACGAAAATTTGAGGCCCCATTTCGTCCCCGGTCGTATGCCGCAAAAAATGTGGCAGCGAGTTCAGTTCCCGCGATGCCTCTCCGCGGCAAGCCAATCCGGGTCAAACCCTCTGAACGGTCAGAAATGACCGTCCGTTGATGTGCCGAGTGCGACCACCCATCTCGCCATCTTTGAGGGTTACCCGTAAGGTTCAGCGCGTCCAAAATCAAGGGCGCCCTGAGCTCCCCTAATCTCCGCTGCCTGGTCTAACAAGAGTACCGTCAAAACTCAGACTCGTCTTTGCGCCTAAGTCCCAAACCCGTATATTTCAGGCGGCGCACTGCTTGTGGCCGCCTGACAGTTAGCCCGGATCACATCTCGACGCCCCCGTCGAGCCCTAGCAACTTACGTCAGACGAAGCAGATGAGCTTCAGGGTGATGGTCCGTAAAGGACGCCCACGTCGGCGTTCAATTGTCTTATGTTTCAGTTTGTTATGAGTCCTGGGGCTAAGAAGATGCTTCTTGACTCTCCTGTTTCTTCTGGTTTTTKGYCCBGGCACGATCCTCTTTTTCTTCTGTTTTTGCCCYGAGARGDGTGTCGMCCCGCCAGTACGTCTAACGCGAACTCTCCGTCTAGCTCGCTTGAGCACGAATAACCATCTCTTCTCTCTTCCTAAAGCTAACCCTTTGACCTTTCTCTTCTCTATTCTTTTCCTTTTCTTGGAACTCTCCCCTGCCTCGAATTGCCTCAAGGGGGCTCCATCCTCCATCATGGCTTTCCCTTTCCCTTTCGGGCTGGTTAGCGATAAAGCGGGCGCGGGCCTGGGTCTAAACAGCTTTAACCTAGCGCCCGCCACTGGGTGCTTCCACTTAGATCCATCCAATTCTGCTATCATATATTCGCCCTAGTCGAGTGCCTCAACCACTCTGTAAGGTCCCATCCATCTGTTGGCGAGTTTTCCGGTCCAGGTTCTTTCCAGCGCTGCATCGTAGAGAAGGACCATATCTCCTACGCTCACCCTCTCTTTCCTGATTCGCACGTTCTTATTTCATCTCTCTTTACCCTTGTCCCTTTCCACTGCCAGACGATCTGTCGCTGTCATGAGGTTATCTTCCAACCCGTAGGCTATCTGTCTTGTTCGGGTAGCTAAGAGTTCCTCTCTGGACATCTCCTCTGCCCAGTCGACGGTTGTCCAGCTGTCGACGTGAAACTCTATGGGAAGCGGACAATGTCGCCCAAACCACAAGGTGTACGGTGGGTATCCGGTACTAGCCCGGACCGTGACGTTGTCCACCCATATTGCGTATCGAAAATATCGCGGCCAATCACTGTCCTTACCCTTGCACCACTTGGACAGTGACGCTATCAGAGTCTGGTGTCCCCTCTCTACTGGGGAGTTCGACTGTGGGTGATAGGCGGTGGCTATCGAAACTCTCGCACCGGCTCTCCTAAACACACTCTGAACCTCGTCGGCTAGGAATTCCGCCTCTCTGTCCATTACTATCTTGCTGACACAACCGTACCTAGATAAGTACTCTAGGACAAAGTTCTTTACTTTCTTTGCCGCCTTACTCCTGATGGGTCTACCGTCCACGAACCCAGTGAAATCGTCTCGTATGTTCACGACGTAGTTCATATTGCCTACCCCTTTCGGCATTTTCACTAGATCGATGTGTACCTTCTCTCCTGGTSTGGTCGGATAGGATGGATGAAGTGGCTCTTTGTATTTCACAAGAGCTCTCTTCTGGCACTCTTCGCATGTCATACAGTACCTCTCGACGTCCTTATACTSTCCATCCCACCAGTACAGCCGGCGTATCTTTTCGTAGGTTCCTTTAACTCCCCTGTGTCCTTTGACTACCCCGTCGTGAAGTTTCGCAACTATCGTTTGTCTCTCCTCAGGATCACAGACTACTCGTAAGGGCATTCCCGACCCTACTGGCCTTCGGAAAAGGTGGCCCGCTCTAAGGCAGTACTGGGCTGCTTGCCGCCGGATATTTGAATCTTGACTCTCCTCTCCCATCAGGTGTGTAGTCCGATCATTCGGTACTTGCCCTCGTAAAGATTAACTAGAAATCTCTCGGCGCGTCTCGGCTCTGCCATTGTCAGAGCCCCAGCTACTGTCGGACGCTCGAGAGGGATGCGTGAAAGTCCATCTGCCACAACATTTTTAGTACCAGATATTCTCTCAACCGTGTAATCGTATAGCCGAATCCGTATTAACCATCGGGCGATGGTCGGGTCCGTCAGACCAAAGTCCTTTTGGAGGACAGAGGCAACCACGGTGGAGTCTACTCTCAAGATGAACCGTCGCCCATAGATATAGTGTCTGAACGTGTCTAGACACCGGAGAACAGCTAACACTTCCTTCTTGAATTGACTGTAGTTACGCTCAGCCGTATTAAGTGTCCTACTCTCAAATCTTAACGGTCTTTCCTTCCCTCCASCGTCCTTCTGAGACAGCAAACCACCCACTGAACATGGKYCAGCATYCGTGGATACTATGAAGGGTCTCTYGGTCTCATCGTSAAAGAATGGCACACCCAACACGCGTCCTCCTTCCTTAAATTTGTCTTTAAGTTCTTGCATAGCAAGTTCCTGCGAAGAATTCCAATAGAAGTTTTCAGTCTTTCGAACGAGTAACCTCAATGGCTCAGCCTTCTCCGCATACCCCCGTATGAATATACGCCCGTAACCGACCACTCCTAGAAGCTGCCGGACCTCGGTTGGGCTATGTAATGATGAGGGTCAGTTCAGAAGTTTGTCTAACTTCGCCGGATCTGCTCGGCGTCCTCTCGAGTCACAGATAAAACCCAAGATCTTAATAGTCGAGACGGCCCATCGGCTCTTTGTTCCGCTGACTGTTAAATTCGCATCGTCCAGCTGCTCGAGTACCGCGCAAATATCTGTTAGGTGCTGCTCGACGAATCTTCTAACTCCAGGTACAACCACTGTCTCATCCCTGGCTACTGGCCCTTTTATAGGAAAGTCATCCAGAAAAACTTCAACCTTATCAGGGATGAAGTCCTTGAGGACGGCTACCATGGCTCTCTGAAAAACGGCTACCCCATTAGTTCATCCCATAGGGACAACCATCATTTGAATTAGTCCCAATGACGTATGCATAGTCGTGAGGTGCCTGTCCCTAGGGTCAAGCGGTACCTCATCATAACCTGAGAACAGATCACAGACCGAATAGATCGACCTACCTCCTGCGCCTTCTGCCAGTAAATCGGCGTGTGGCACGGAGCCCATGTCTCGTATCGTCACCGCGTTGACCTTCTGAAGGTCCTGGATCCATCGAATCTTGCCATTCGGTTTTCGTAGGAAAAACCATCGATTAGCATAAGCGCTATCAGACGGCTCCGCAACGTGGGAAACCATCTTTTTTTTCAGGAAAGCGATAACTTCTTCCTTCTCCTTCTGGGCGTATTTCCATCCCGCGTCATTCCAGGGAACATGTGGTATCGTGTAAATCCTTGCTGGCTTAGCGTATCGAGGGTCAACCCTACCGCGCTCCGCGTCACTAAAAGCTATGGCCTTATCA